TCTCTCTCTCTCTCTCTCTCTCTCTCTCTCTCTCTCTCTCTCTCTCTAACCATCCTACTTAGCCAAATGCTTTCACGCAACGTTATATCAGTGCCATGGGCTATCCCTATTATGCTCAGGCGTTTTGCTATCTCAACATAAATACACTCAAGGAATTTAGCCGCCAAAGTTATGTTTGTGACGGTGAAATTTAATTATTTTTGATTCAGACGTTGCGATCTGGAATTACCTCAGGTTGTTTGTCACATATACGGATTCAGGGTGGAGTATCCTGCTGTGTGGATAAATGTGCGTATGTTTGTGTGTGGGTGTGTGTATACATATTGAAGTCGACTAATTCAGCTCAAAAGCAACTCAAGTTGAATAGTGCATTAAAAACCCATTTTACTGTTATTTTCAATTTCCGATGGTCCTGTTTACTATTGTTTTAAAATGCAAAAGATTATTTTGGAAGGACCCATGATTTATTAAACTTGCAGCATATCTTTAGAAATAACTCTTTAATTGTTTTAAATGTCTGTGAATTTTTGAAAATATTGGCAAATTTGACTTTTAGAAATACAAAAATAAACAGGGTTTCACTTTGTTTGCCCAACCAGACCATGTGGGATTCGCTGGAACTCTCTCACACACAGAAAAAGAATCCTCTTTTTCTTCCGTTTTTTTTTCTTCAATCTTACAAAAATAACCATTTAAACAAACAAAAAAGAACACTCTCACATTTATCTCTCTCTTACGCTATTACAATTGGAGCATACACTCTCTTCTTATTATACACATGATATAATGTCGTGCTTTTTTTCATAATTATACACTGATGTATAATAAAACGTGACACACATACTATACTATTTATGTATCTTACTTATAAATGTATCTAAGTTTAGTAGTTGACTCGGGACGCCCAATTGGAGTCGTCTGCCACCTTGTCGGTACGATCGTTGTTGTTGCTCAGAATCACATTGAAACATAATAATTATGGACATTGTTTAATTGGGTGTCAACTAAAGCGGGTACACCCAAGCATTTTCGAGTAGATTTTCTACGAATTCTACATTATTCTCTGTCAACCATTAGGCGCCACAGCACAGTGGTAGAGCAGTGGTTTCTTAAACTGGGATATCCCGGGATCAAAACCAGGCCGATGTGCTTGCGCCCTTTGGTAAGGCAGTAATCTTTATTACCATTGCTTTAGAAGAGGACATGAAGCCGTCGGTCCCCTCGTTGCTTACTTTTTTTGAAGCATAAAAATGCTTGATTTGTAGTCAGGTAAAGACAAACGATCATATAATCAAACAAAATAAACTCCACCCCCAAATTTCGGTTCACCACTAGTATTAAAACATCATCGTTCGGTTTGTTCAAAACAATTTTTAAAGTCTTGTGAAGAATATATTTGTCATATTTTCTTCGTCCCAAAAGAATATGATGTTCCTGGATGTGTCTTGGTTCAATGAGTGATTCAAATAATTATCAATCAAAGGTCTGAGGGTTCGAATCCCAACCCAGCACTAACGTCTTTTGATTCACCATTAATCCACAATAGCCACTCTCTACCAAGTTGTAAATGGTCAAATGGCAATTGCGGGAGGAATAATAATTGCATGGCGCTCATAATGAATATTTATGCAGATAAGGCTTCCCTGAGTAAATAAAATTTTGTAAAAAAAACATTTATAAACCGTACAATTTTATCTCTCTCTCTCTCTCACCCACTCTCTCTCTCTCTCTATATCAGCCTAGCTTTATGTACAGATAGAAAACATTGGAAGTTGATTTAATATCTTGCCCTTATTTATTGGCCCTCACTTAACTTTCCACACTATCTTGGGAATCTCAAAAAGTAGAAAAGAAATCTCAACGGAAAAAGAAAATTTCAACTTACCTTCCTCCAAAAATAAGACATCATATATTGCCAGAGTAAAAAAAATGAAGTTGAGCAATCTAGAAAATGTAGTACTCTCTCCCATCTTCCCTGCTTGGGATGACTGACCCATACAACTCTCCGATGATAAAGTAATAGACACCTACGGATAGTCGTACCTCCACCCACAGTTCCGCTTACCCGTGCTCAGGATTACCCATACCCTTCGAGCAGGACGAATGCAGAGAAGGAGGTCGAATCTGTCGAAGATGTGATATTGTCGGCCACTTTCGCTCAAGCCAGCAGACGACATCTGAACGATACTCTTGTGGTGGTATGACTTTTTTTTTGCGTGCGCTGACGCGGTCGTCGTGAGGACGGTTCGCGCGCCTAAATCTTTAAAAGAAAAATATCTTCAGATGATGTCCTCTGATCCAGTAGGAGCTATACAATGATGATACAAAATACAGCAATATTTATAATGATGGTGGTGATAAAGAAGATGATCATGATGATTTTGATAATCATTATGATAATAGTAATGATGATAGAATATTAGGAATTACAATGATTCTTTTTACACACACATGCGTGTATTAAAAGTATGTAATGGTCTACGTACGGGTTATATAAGGTTGTATACAGAGAGAGGAAAGAGAGAAAGGGAGAAAGAGAGAGAGAGAGAGAGAGAGAGAGAGAGAGAGAGAGAGAGAGAGGAGGGCGAGAGTGAGAGAGAGAAAGGAAAGTTTCTTTTAAAGGGAGGGAAGGAAAGGAAAATCGAGAGAGAGAAGGATGTGGATAGGGAAGAGAGAAAATGACGAGAAAATAAACTCCTAGACCGCTTCCAACACCTCTTAGGAAAGTCATTTTTAATTTTCAGAGTAAAACCAGAGGTAGAGGTAGGGTGGAGGAAGGGTATATAGAGGTAGGATGGAGGGGTGGTAGAGGTAGGGTGGAGGGGTTGTAGAAGTAGGGCGGAGGGGTGGTAGAGGTAGGGTGGAAGGGGTTGAAGAGGTGGGGTAGTGGGTTGGTAGAGGTATAGGTGGAGGGATGGTCGAGGTAGGGTGGATGTATAGTCGAGGTAGGATGGAGGGGTGGTAGAGGTAGGGTGGAGGGGTGGTGGAGGTAGGGTGGTATTAGAGGTAGGGATGTAGTAGATGTAGGGTGGTAGGAGAGGTAGGATCAAATGAGAGATAAGGGTGGAGACGTGGTAGAGAAGTGGTAGAGGTAGGGTGGATGGAGGAGATGAAGGTTGGAGGGGTGGTAGAGGTAGCATGGAGGGAGAAGATGAAGGTTGGAGGGGTGGTAGAGGTAAGGTGGACGTATAATAGAGGTTGGCGGAGGGGTGGTAGAAATAGGGTGGAGGGGAAGTGGAAATAGGGTGGAGGGGATGTAGAGGTAGGGTGGAGGGATAGTAAAGGTAGGGTGAGGTAGGGTGGAAGTAGAGGTAGGGTGGTGGCAGAGATAGGTTGGTAGTAGAGATATGTCCATGATTCTACCAATATACCAGTTCGTAATGAACACATGGTACGAGTTCAAATGATCTTAAGTATCCACAGACATTCGGGAGATGGCGCTTTTTGTATTTGAGAATAATCGCTGCCAATGTGATAGCCGTGCTTTATGATTCCCCCTTTAAAAAAAGAATATTTTCACTTGTGTAGGTACCATGCATGTCATATAATTCACTTTTGATTACGTAATTTTCATGACCTCCGAGTCTATATGTTGTAGATTGTAGGCTATCATCAAAATAACTGCATACAAACATACACAACAGGCCCCGCGAAACATTTTAAAAATTGTGGGGGGGGGGGAGCTAATGTATTTACCATCAGGTAAGTTCAAGTTCATCTTATTCAAAACCACACAAAACATGATATAATCTTTCACCTAAAAAAGAGACTGGCAATATACATTAATCAACATAATTATACTAACTTGATTACATCATAAAATGAATGGTTTTAGAACCCCTTTAGAAGCTAAGCTTGTGAGCGGGGCCCTTTATAGTCAACAAAATACATTCATTAACAATATTATGACAAGGTGAACAAAAAGAATATAACGTAATACAAGGGATGGAAGTATTAAGCTATAGAATAATAGAACACACACACACGCATCCTTTCTCTCTCTCTCTCTCTCTCTCTCTCTCTCTCTCTCTCTCTTTCTTGCTCTCTCTCTCCCTCTCTCTCTTTACCCCTCCCTCTCATTTTCCCTCTCTTCCTTTCTCGCCCATACATACATACATATTAATATTTATATAGTGCTTTACATAAACATGCTCAAAGCGCTTTACATTCAATTCAATTCAATTTATTCATGTTTCCAACAAAACATTAAAAATCAATTATAAGCATTTAAAACAAATGTAAGAAATGCATTTTGGAAACAGAGGGGTCCACTAAAAAGCAATGATTGTACAAGTGTGAACACTGTAAATGTGTTGTAGAAAGCTGTGTAAAGTAAAATCAAAAAAAGTTGTGTAAAACATGAACCACGCCTGGTTCTTACAGTACACAACCTCGCTCACATCACACACAACTCCACACAACGCCTTGTCAAAAAAAAAAAAACAATTGCAAAGAATACTAATAAGTTTTGAGATTTTCCTCAACTGAACCGACTGAGGAGCAGGAACAAATGCTTAATGGGAGACTATTCCAAATAGTGGGACCAGGAAAAAATATATTTTGTCGACCCTTCATCGAATTGATGCGGGGGATTTGCAGAAGAAGAGGATCTGACCTTGGGCGTAATGAATATCTTGATTGCTGGATGGGACAAAACAGACTAGAAATATAGGATGGGATAAGGTTATACATGGATTTATAATCAAATAGTCCAACTTTATACATTATTCTCTTGTGCATACTCTATCTCTCTCTCTCTCTCTCTCTCTCTGTCTCTCTCATTCTCACATTCTCCTTCCTTTTATCCAAAATATCTTTCTAACTCTCCAGTACTATATTAGATTACTGGAAAATATTAGAGAGGAGCACCCCTCTAGCAAATTCCTTGTTTTCATCTTGTATTTTCTATAATTATGTCAATCCATAGTACAGATCTATTCTATATGGCTGTACACAACCCTTAATGTTCCACATGAAAAGAAAAAAAATACAAGCTTTAATCAAGAGAGATGAGGTCTCATCAATAGTTTAATCGTTAAAGAAATAACATGGCGCTAGACGAAGCCAAGAGTATAGAACAAACTCGGAATCATCGCGAAGCTTGGTTTTAACAATAAACAATATAACATAACAATATATAAATAAATAACAACATTACAATAAACTGACAATAAAATTGCTAGTCGGATAAAATAAGATATTTATCGAAAATTATAGATCCTCAAGATACACTGCTGAAATCCTAAACACTTTGTTTCTTTATTATTCCTGTAGACATACAATTTGAATAACAGGCCTTTATCCGTACCCAGAAGATTTCCTAGTCATCATAGTTTTTCATTTTGGCTAGGTAAAATACGTAAGTAATTTTAACCAATCAATTTATGGAAAAACTATTATCAACAATACAGTCGGGGGGAAATGTGATTATATTATTGTTAGTCGTTATTTTTATCACTTAAAAATTTGATATGAAGTGGATTGTGTCATTGAATCTGATTGGGATAAAATGTCTGTATTTTTGTATTTCAGTGATTTCTTTTTTTGGTCAGCGTTAGAGGAGCCTGTTCCATCACCTGAAATATAAAAAACAGAATATACTTTTTATTAATAATAGTGGTAGTGTAAACAAACATTGAGTTTATATGAGGATATTCCAATCATATTGATTTCATGATCCTTATGAATCACGCATTGATCAAAATTGCAGGGAATTGTTTAACTCTGAATTGCAAAACATTACTCATAATTTCACCAATGCGAGTTCACAAAATAACTTTAAATATTTATATATATATATATATATATAAAAGATCAAAGATCAAAAATATTATGTGTTGTTAAGTACGGCAAACCATGATGTTCGTCATACCTAGCAACGAATAATGCATGCAATTCGCATTCCGACTATGGAAACACGATTATCTTATCAGGTGAGTGGAATTATTAGTATTATACGATGAATAATATAAAAAAAATACGCATTAGATTTGTTAACATTACACAAATTATCTACTGTATAATTCTATTACCAACCTACACATAGAGAAGCTTGTTAGGGCATGCCGAGGACAGCCAGCCCAGCTTGTCTTTGTTGCTGTACGCTAACAAGTTGTCAGTGTTCTTGGCGTAGAGGGCGATAGCACCTGTAATCAGAGCCATTGATGAGCATTGGTTAGTTTGAAAAGTTTGCAAACAGAACCCATAGTCAATCGTTATGGATAATAATCATGATCATAAGTTTGTATAAACAGCAACAAAGGTGACTTCACGTTTTACATATCATCTTTATTGTGCAAAAAGAAAAGGGAAACACAATATAACTCTAGGTTACGTGTTTTTAAAAAACCGTGTACAGGACAATATACTACATTGGAACATGAAATATACATAAAAAGTAATTTAAATAAAATTGGAACGCAATGAACAATAATGATGAGGATGATGACAATGATGATAATAACATTGTTTATAATATTGATGATAGTAATGATAATGTTAATGATAGTAATAAAAATAATACCAACAAAAACAATTTTTAAATGAGAATTTATCAAGCTGTTGATTACGGGGAGATGGTGCAGTCGTCTCATTTTCTCGTGCGTTTCCCTTCTCTCTTTCCCTTTTATTTTTTTTACACCAGTCGATTTTTTTTTTCGAAGGGGAAGGGGAGGGGGCACGTGTCCCCGAACCCCATATTTCTTTGCCTCTGACACTTACCGGCAACATGCGGGCAGGCCATGGATGTTCCGCTCTTTTGTGTGATTTCATAGTCAGTACGGTAACCCAGCGAGTCTATGTATAACCCAGGGGCGTAGATGTCTAGGCAGGGGCCCCAGTTGGAGAACTCAGCACGCAAATCTTTCCAGTCAGACGCCCCTACGGTGATGGCCTGTTACGCAGATCATTAAATATACTTCCGTTTTTACTTAAATTAAATTAATGAAAGAATACATGAGACTGATATGCAGTGTGTATCCAAAAGAATTGTACCCAACTTTGGTAGCTTCTCATTACAAGCGCCTTTTGGATGGTGATGTTAAAGGTCGGTCCCCAGACGTAAATAATCATATCTGATTGATATTTTTTTTCTTTTTTTCTTTTCTTGTAATTGTTTTTTAAAATTGATTCCAAACAATACAAATAAATGTTAGAAATGAAATACAGTTGTTTTTCCTTGACATGAATTCAAAACATTTTCATTACATAAATTGTAAAATTGATGAAGAAAAAAAATGAAATCAGTTGTAATACAAAATAAGTAACCCCATCCAACCAAAGACACTACTAATAGGATAGGCATTCTATAGCGTCGTCTATCTAGAAATTCTATTTCGAGGCGCACTTATTATTACCCTGGCTTTAGCCTAGCTGCCATTACAGCGCTCTAGCATTTAAAAGGAATTATTTCCTTGTACTTGTAATTCCTGCACAAAGATTAAATTAGCTAAATTTTGACCATTATTACAAGAAGCGGGTTATTGTTGTGTACTAAAACTCGTGTCCTTTCCAGCCCAATTTTATGTATGTTATTACCAAAGAAAAAGAAAGACAATCAGCCACTCAATAGTGTCTGACAGTGAAGTCTGGAAAGTAAACGGGTTTACTTGCATTACGTTAACGTTTACATTTCACAGATATGAAATACTTGACATATAATGCAAAGTTCTACAGAATTTGATGTTTTCTGCAAAAAAGGAAACACTACCTCATCAACTCAGCTCTCAATTGACATAAAAAAAAAGAGGATCATGGGGGACCAATGGTCACCGATTAGGCATTGTTTTCTACATAGAGGGAGCAAGTAGCTACAGGTAGTACAGTGGGCCTTTAAGAGCTAAACTTACAGAGGGGGCAGCCGCAGGAGAATGATCGCAGGCATTTTCATTCTCATTACCAGCCGCTACGGCAGCGGGAACTCCTGATTTGACCAACTCTTCGACGGACTCGTCCATTGATCTTGATTTCCCGCCACCAATAGACATCGATGCTACGGAATATCTGTTAGCGTATTCTATCGTGTAATCTACAGCTGTTGATAAAATGATAATAATTATTATTATTGTAGTAGAAGTAGTCATTGTAGTAGTAGTAGTAGTAGCAGTAGTAGTAGTAGTAGTAGTAGTAGTAGTAGTAGTAGTAGTAGTAGAAGTAGGATTATAGTAGTAGTAGTAGTAGTAGTTGTAGTATAGAAGTAGTAGTAGTAGTAGTAGTAGTAGTAGTAGTAGTAGTAGTAGTAGTAGTAGTAGTAGTATCAGTAGTAGTAGAGGTAGTAGTAGTAGTAGTAGTAGTAGTAGTAGTAGTAGTAGTAGTAGTAGTAGTAGTAGTACTAGTAGTAGTTGTAGTAGTAGATGCGGTAAATCATCAATAATTCATAGAGAAGGTTGAGTTTGGGCTAAGGAGAACAATTAATTTGTGAGGTTTGTTTACATTCTGTTTATGTTAGTGTGGAGAATTAAAGTAACATCCCATTAAAAGGATGGCTCTTCATATGCCTTCATATTCGAAATACATAAGTAGCAAATTAATGTTGTAGAGCTTGCTTTCAAGCCATATGTTTGTGTATTGGTATTTCCATGGGCACTTGTCTGTGTAAAGTGCGTGTGACTTTTATCAAGACCGGGCCAAATATTTTCTATTTTCTTACAATGTATAATATGTTATGTGTATACTTGTTAAAGGTTCTAAGTCCCATTTGCAGGCCAAAAAAATGAAAAGGTTAAATTCCAACGGCATTTGAAAGACAATACTAATTCAGAACTTCCCTCAAAACGAAAGGGCTTGAAAATGTCTTTTAGAGGTAGAATAACGACCATTAGTTGTCGAATCGACTTAAGTAATTGCAATCACTTAATTAATAGTCTGGCTTTCAGACCATTTTACCGAATGGTCGTACGTTTTGTGCTGCACCAAGATTCAATCAGTTTAATTTTGGCCATTACAAGTAGTGGGTTATTGATGTAGACAATTGCTCAAGTACCTGTTAAAGCTCATTTTATGTATGTTATTACCTAAGAAAAAAACGTCAGTCAGTCACTCAATAGTGTCTTACAGTGAAGTCTAGAAGTTAAACGTGTTTCCTTGCATAATTTGAATACTAGGAAACTGTTATTGTTAAAATTTCACAGATGGGACATACATGACATATTCATAATTCCTATAAAGTTCTACATAATTTGATGTTGGCTGCAAAAGGGACATATTCTTTAAGGGGTCATTTTTAGTAAGCCAACTAGTGCTTTTCTTGATCCCGCCACTATTATTAATATGTATACGGTATTGATTTGTAAATAGTTTTTAAAGTAAAAATTAAATTGATTTGAATTGAATTGAAATGAATTTCGTAACATTTAATGATTCCAGGACCTCAATGCATACCCTAATTTATTCAAGAACGAGCTTTTCCTATCGCTTCTACAACGTTTCTTTCACATTGCAATTACATGGCCAGAACTCAACGTTAGCGTTAACATGATTGCATATACTTTCGAGAAATCATCTCAAGGACATGTTCTTCAGTACACTATTTTTGTTTCGGGGGGGGGGGGGGCCTCAATTTTGTGTCACTTGATATTTTGGTCTCAAACAGAAATAAACGAGAATCTGAGGACATCTAAACAGTTAGTAATCAAATCTTTTGACTCCGTTTTGAAACCCTGATATGCACACCAAACGAAATTATTAATGCTTGTGTTGACATTGATCAAAATAGCGTTCGTATAAACAGGAGAAATATCATTCATCAAGAAAGTCCTGCTCATTGGCGACAAATCTAGACGATACACGAAGAAAGAGGAGAGGCGATGGCTCGGTGGTAAAGCAATGGTCTCGCAACCGGGAGGTTCCGGGTTCGTTCCTAAGTCGATGTGATAGTGCCCTTTGGTATGGTATATCTCCTCATTACCAAGAACGTCGGAGAGGGCTTTAGGCCGTCGGTTCCCTGGTTGCTTACCTACAAGCTTACAAATGTTTTCATAGCAGTCAGGAAAACCATCAAACCATCAGACCATCAATTATTTTAAGTCGGCCTTAAAAATGTTATATTACCCTTGATGATCCAGCTGGTGGTCGCATAACCGTTGCAGTCGAAGACCTTAACACTATAGATAGTGACCTCTGAAGCAACTCCGTAGTTCTTAGCGCCGACTGTTCCAGCACAATGGGTTCCATGCCCGTAGCAGTCATACTAGTGTTAACAAAAAAAGAAGACGTTAACGTAGAAATATCAGGTTGAAATTTAGTCACTGCTGGGCTCACCCACTTTACAGTTGCCATACAATTGTATACTCGTGCTAGTAATAAAGCTACGTTTATCATCAATCGACCTCACTTTATTTTGTAAAATGTACAGCAAAATGGCTGACATTTAATTGTTAATATTACTAATAATAATTGAGTATAAGATAGACTTAGAACACTATAATTAAAGACTTCGTTGAGACGTGTACAGGTGGAACAATATTCGCCCAATGGGATTCCACAAGTTATGATCATAACTTGAAAAAGACCTTTATAAATGACTTGTTTCATCTATAAACGTGTTCTTAGTCTATTGTATAAATATATACATATATATATATATATATATATATGAAGTAAGAAGCAAACTCACGTCATATTTGTCAGCAAAATTTGCAACCTGGTAGGCACGCCCCTCGAATTCGTTGTGGCTCTCTCTGATACCTGAGTCGAGTACCCAGACTGTGTACCCTTTGCCAGTAGCTTTGATAGAAACAAACAAAATTAACATGCGACTAATTTGTGCGCTGACAGGTGGCGTAGATTGCCTGATGTATAATTGCTTCAGCGACTGATGCTGTCTTTGACGCACCCGGTGAGGGCGACACTGTACTAAATATACTATTATTATTATTATAATTATTGTTGTCATTATTATCAATATCATCAAATTATACAATTTTATATCATTATTGCTTTTATTATCATTATCATTATCGGCGTTGTGGCGTGCGCCTGTAATCCAGTGAACAGTGGAAGTTACAAACTGATTCAACCGAGGACGCAGGTTCGAAACTGAGTCACGTCTTTCGGATGGTGACGTTTAAAGGTCGGTCCCCAGACGTAAATAATCATATCTGATTGACACACGTCTGTAAAAACACAATACACACACACACACACACACACACACACACACACACTATGATTATTAATATTAAAACTACCATTTATAGTTCTATTGGTAATATTACTCCCATTATCATTGTTGTTATGTTTTTTTGCTGTTCAGTCAGAGAGCACGATTTGTCTACAGACAGGCACAGACGTCGTATACACATCATGGACATGATCAATCCTTCATAAAAACTCGCTAACCATTTTCTTGTATTTATTTAAATCTTTCACTAATTTACGCCGTTTTCAAAATTATCAACATTTGGTGAGGTGCTTATTTACTCTCCTATCTCTTATCTCTAGGTTCCAAAAGTCAAGTGTTTCTTATTTTAGGTGTCGTTTGGTATTGAATAAAACGTAATATATTAGGTTTTAAAGGGTTTACAGCCGGTCTGCACCCTCTCCCTTTATTCCACCACTGTTTTCCTTTACCAAAGGAGATGTTGTGATGTAGTGGATACGTCGCGGCAGTAATGTCCTTTGGCAAGGCATTAATCTACATTAGCCTCACTCGACCCAGGTGAGGTAATTACAGTCAATTTGGATTCGAAGACAAAGAGATTACCGGGTCACGGATATTACCGCTAGACCAAACCCACGCCTTTTTATTTACCGAAGGGGTTATATCGGCCGTCGAGTGGAAGATTGGTTTGGTCGATACGGTCTAGCCCCCACGTGACCCCCTGAGGGCGGTAGATACCCTCTTGTTCAACATACTCAACGGCAGGGAGGTTGCGGACCTGTGGAATAAAGCAAAATCCAATATTTACTGAGTAGGCATAACTTTTAATAAGCATAAACCCTTAAATTTGAAAGTTTTCGAAAGGTCTATACATCAGCTTTTCCTCCTCAAAGTGCCAGCAAAGCCTTAATCAGAGTGTTCTGGATCAAAATATAACAAAATAAAAATTCACTAAAAGGTGACACTAAGGTGTCATAAGGCATGCTGCGGCATTCTGAAGACAATTGAATTATGGAGGCGAATATTATGACATACAAAACGACGATACGCATTCATTGTTTGATATAAATGCATAGAATTTGGAGGCATCTACGACGTTTCCAATACATTGCTTCTTTTCAATACATCCCTTTCAATTAGTGCACCTTCAGATTGCCTTCCGTTTCCAATATTTCGCAGAGTAGATGAGAAAATACGATTAAAAAGAAACATTAAATAAGGTCCCAGCGCTTACTATTCAAAATATATTTTCAAAGTCACTTGATCACATGTCAACATGTCATCCAATTTCATTCAATGATCGAACAGTTGGTAATGATTTTAGATGTCATTCGAATGACCCCCCCCCCCCCGTCTTGAATCTTAGAATGCGTAAAACTGTAATAAATATAATTATTATCATGCTAATAGATAGAGATTAGTAAGGTTCAACTCAGAACTAGGTAAATTGAGTTAAAAACTAACTTACAATGTCAAGTACATTATCGGCGAGTTCGGCGGCAAATCCATTTAGAGCGCGACGAAACTTGTAACCAATTTTTCCGCCGAAGAGACTTACAGTAGTGGTCATTTCATCAACGTTGATTCCATTCTGTTATGGTGGTTATATAAGAGCACGTGATTATACTTATACTTACACAGTTACAATTGACATAAATTATTCACTAATTTTTTTTAAACGTATACATGATTATCTCTAGAAACCCTGGGCCTATATTCATAAAAGCTTACTGAACGTAGTTGGCAACTAGTAAGCTTTTTAACTGTCAAGTATGCACTAGTATGTTTTCATAAACCTTATGTTTTGGTTTGAAAGTAGGCCTTATTCATAAATGTTCCCCAGTTGTCGACTAAATATACTTCAGTTGTGAACTACATCAAAATGGTATCTATAAAACTAGGATTAATTGGCAACTAAATTTCTTCCTAAATTGAGAGTTAGTTGGCAACTCATCACCTTATCACCGACTATCAAAGGGGCAACAGTGGTCAGAAATTATAAAATCGGAAGAGATTTGTCTCGAAAAGGGAAGAGGAAGTATATTTCAAGACAGGAGATTACCCACAGACAACCATAATGTAGTGATGCAGAATAGCTTAGTGCCATATTATTTTAATATCCATATATCTGGCGTATTTATTAATCTTTTTGTACAAAATGTAATTTATTTTACAGCCACATTGAAAATCTTTATCTTCAAACGTGGCCATTATCATACAATCTTTTGCACTGTGTGTTGATTCACTGGCACATATTTTGCAAGGGATCTTCACATCAAGAGTCCCGGTAGAATGTTATGCATGGTCAGGCGCGTACGCAGAGGGGAGGGGGGGGGGGCTACCCCCTTCAATTTTGTTTATATGTGTATATTGGAGCAACCCCCCCTTGGTTTTCTTTCTTTTTTTAATAAAGCAAATAAAAAAATAAAAAAAATAATGCCAATGGCTAAAAAAGGTGACCTTACCCCCCCCCCCCCAAAAAAAAAAAAACACGAAACAAAATGTCAAATTTTCTAATTTCGAGACCCCCCCCCCCCCCCCCAAAAAAAAAAAAAAAAAAAAAAAAAAATTACCCCGCCCTCCCCCCCCCCCCCACCCCCATGTTAGAGTAAAAGTAAGGTTAAGAATAGATATACCTTTAGCTTTATGATGTACTTTCCCGGGACGGGCTCGCTGTTTTCTAAAAGAGGCGCCAGGTCAGCAGCGGCCGCAGCCACCAAGAGAAGAGAGATGATAGCACGCATCGTGACTGAAAATGGTAAAATATAAAAGATGTAGACATTATAATAATGATAATAATAATAATAATATTTAATTTTTATACAGCGCTTAGTACAAATGTCTCTAAGCGCTTTACAAATGTGCTATTACCCCGGTCATTGGATTCAGTGCTTGCCCACACACGCTGTGTACACAATCTCCACTCCCTGGGGAGCATTCCAGCTGGGCGTTACTTGACGCTCACAAGCTATTTGACCAACAATGACGGCCGCATCCTACCGGGTACCCATTTGACACCTGGGTGGAGAGTAGCAAGTGCAGGTTAATATCTTGCCAAAGGATATTAGTGCCGTGTCGGGATTCGAACCCTCGACCTTCGCACCTCTAGTCAAGCGCCTTAAACCACTCGACCACGAGTACCTAGTACATTTGTATAGCGCTTACAACTAGGTTTCTAAGCGCTTGACATTGTAATTATTATAACCCCGGTCATTGGATTCAACTGCTAATCCGCACATGCTAGTGCACACGCTCCGCTCCCTAAGGAGTATTCTCGCCAGGCGCCATTATACACATGCCAATCCAACCACATCAACGTTCTCATCCTAGACCGGGTACCCTCTACACATTGGTTTTCATACCAGACCATTATAAACAATTGACAAATTACAGTACATCTTTATCACTTTTTTTAATTTTTTTATTTTATGGATCCATCTTTTATCATAATCCACCAGATTTTGACGGTGTACTCCATTACAGCCTTCTCATTTTTCTATGTGTATATTTTACATAATATATGTGATAATTGAAAGATGAAGAATAATGAAATCAGCACTGATCTTGTAAAGACTAAACTCATTTAACGATGAATGAATTAAATGAGACTATGAACAACTTACATGATTCTTGGGCTAGGAAGATTTCACTGAGAAAGCTTCGGTGGTTCTTTAGAGTAAAGATCTTATAGACAACCGATCTATCTGAATCAGTAAAATAATAACTTGAACAACTTACCAGGTTATAAGCCTTGAACGAGTGATAGTCTCAAAGCTTCAGTAGTTCTTTAGATTGATGATGTAGTAGAAAACTAACTAGATCTGCTGATTGGCTGGGTGATACAAGTATTATTTTAAGATGCTTTATAGGAACAGGTGTATCATTCCCGTGGCGTACGTGTAGTACATGGGGTGCAAAGGTGAGGCACTGACTTGCAATGCAACGTAAGCAATATCTTTTATTGCTTTTGTCTCTTGTCTCTGTCAATAATTTTGTTAGGAGTTTAATAATTGTATGAAGAGGTACTACATCTTATTGTGGGCGGGGTTGGGGGTAGCGCAAAAGTCCAAGTCGTCCCCGTACCTAAAACAGGAGCACCAAATAAATAACAAAGATTATGATGATGATGATGATGATAATAATAGTAGTTATAATAACAACAACAATAATGATAAAAGTAACAATAATGATGATAATGGTCATCCGCATGATAATAGTAATTCCCTTCTATCGTAGTACATATTGCATGATGATAGCGGTTAATATCCACTTATCATTGGCGTTAAATGAAGCAGATAAATACCAAAAAAAGTTCAATGTTTAATTTTCGGAACAATTTTATGAACGTAAGCAGGTTCCTTCTTCAAGGAGGTTATACCAAAAAAGAAAAAAAGAAACTGTTTATCAATTGCAGTATAATCCTCTTAAAAAAAATATTTGTCATATATAAATATATATAAATGTGTGTGTGTGTGTGTGTGTGTGTGTGTACACGTATGTAAAGATGGGTCGTTGTAAGAGCGTGTTTGTCTGTATCTGTGTATAGGTATTGCCTATTACATATTATTACATATTAGATAATTATTTTATTTCACTGATTTTAATGAATTTTCTTTGCCACTATAAAAAGAAAAAAAGCGCCAAATGTTCTTTCTATAATATTATGTACAAAATACCTTGATCGTACACTTCCATTTTGTAAGGCATACTGATAAAGGTGTTTAAAGAAGTCGTTGAAGAGAAGTGCTTCCGCATAATCATAGTTTCGTCTGTTCATGGTCAAAAGGGCTAAACTATGGAGTTATACAAACATACAGTATGATCTGCTTACAGCTGTGAGACAAGGTGAAAATAAAATTTGCATGAAAGAGAGGACGAATGGAAGTATTTACCAATTATAATGATCTTTTATTATACATGTAAAACAAAGGGGATATAGACAGGTACAAGTAATACGAATTAGTCTGAGACAATGTTACAATGTACTAGGAAATCAACCTTTCCCAATGTCCTTTAGATAGTTCTTTTCAAAATACAATCACGCGAAGATATTGATTCGTGTACCTAGTTTTCCTTGAACAAATACACCAGGGGCTCTCTCTGTGTAACATATCAAGTTATTTCGAAAATAATTAAATATCATATCAGAGGCATCTTGAGAATAGACAGGTGGCCTTGTTTGATGGTTAAAGTTGAGGTCAGAGGTCGTTGTTATTGCACATGGGCCAGACATCTTTGAAGATAATGTTGAGTTCTCCTAGGTGCAGTATAAATTGTGAGTTTTTATATAATTCTTTAAGCTTATTTTCTTGTCGGTTTGGAAGAATATTAGAATTGAAATGTCCCCTGAATGGATTGCTTTGCAAATTCCCTCATATGAAATATGACGAATAATGAAAAAATAGACAGAAATGTCAAAAAAGGATAAAATATTTGTGCGTGTCGTGCATCTAGTGTCGTGCATCTGCTAGAATAAGCCAATTTTGTTACAATTTTGACGGTTACAAATCGTTATCGTATATACCAGTTTTACTACATAATTAACATTTCCTTTTAAATTAATGAATAAGTTAATAATTTTAGGGCTGCAAATATATCAAGCATAATGTTTAAGATCTAGTCGTCCTGCAGCATGTTTATCTAATTAATATTAATTATACATTAAACATTTATTTCTTACCTTGATTTCTTACCTTTTGTATATAATTTCATGTATTGAATTGGAAAAATGTATCAAATTCAATTCAATTCAATCAAGGATTATCAAAACATGACTGGCAGTCATAAACACACGCACAGCATGGTAAACGGACAAATTCAATGTGATTTGTGGTGGTGCAATATCAATAATATGCAATGAAGAGTTTGGTACGAATTAGGGTGTCAAAACTGTATAAGTTTAGATTTGCATTTGAATTTGAATTTTGAATTTTGTTAAACACATTTATCCAGCCTGAGGATAACCATATCTATTTAGTATAAATAGTGTTTCTGCACACGCTCACACACACGCACACGCGCGCACACACACACACACACACACACACATAATATACCATTGATATTGAGTCAAAATCTGTATTTCACCAACTCGCTGTCTCTCCCAAACTCTCATCCCCACTCCACCTTTCCTCACTCCCCCACATTCTCTCTCGCTCTCTCTCTCTCTCTCTCCCTCTCTTTTTTCACCCTCTCTCTCCCTTCTTATGTATCTATTACTTTATCTTTCTTTATTTCCTTTCTTTAATTGCTCCAACCATGGTATTGCCATCCATCTCTTTCTTCCTTAATCGTTTTCCATTTCTTCGTCTCACTCTCTTCATTTAAAACTTAGCCATTATCTATCTCTTCAACTCTCTGGCTATCTGTCTAATAAATCTTTAACTTATTTAAACTTCAAATTTAAGATTGATAGTAAGGTTAAGTTATTCGTTTATTTTATACCTAGGGACAGGTTTATATTAATTCTGAGAATACGGACCATTATGTTGATCAGTTTGCAAATACTTAATCTGTTTGGTTTAACGAGTACCGTAAGGTTAGGGTCAAGTTTATGTAGCATAATGGCAGGAAAATTTTACTAGGGGGTTGGCGCCTTTAAAGCTGTCTATTGGCTTTACTGTTTCGAGTTCTTGAGAGCCATCGAAGCAAGCTACCAAGAAACAAAATCTTTGTTCAGCTAAAAATGTTAGTTGAAACAGCCCAAATACCTTATATGTTGTTTTGACACTCAATGGAAGACTACATATGTTTTAGAAAGGAAAGCTGTACAAGTTAAATAGGGTTCAATTGAAATTTTATTCAGTAAAGAATTCGATATTTTAATGGCACTTTTATAATGTGTTTTATGACTTTAAAATACCATTAATACACCACGTACATGTTTTACTTTCTAATACAAATAAATTGCATGTTACATTGTTTTGAAGGTTATCATTTGCAAAGCGAAAGAAAATGTGAAGTTGTGAAACGTAATTGAGTATCCAACTAACGCACTTCAAGAATAATAAAAAGAAGATGATGATTTGAAAAATGAATCAAACGCAATTTTGTTTTTTCTGTTCCCATCTCCTTATCTCTGCTCTAAAGGCCCGGCCAGCGTCACCATCTGAAAATCAAACACCAGAGCAGAAAATTTACAAATACTAAAAAGCATCTACAACTAAGTAGAATATTACTAATTCGCAAAACATATCGATAAAGATACCATGAGCCCCAACACTGGTGTTTTCGAAAATATAATGTTATTTTTATGATTTTTTGCACTCTTGCTTAAAACAACCCTTTTCAAACTGCGTTTCACTAATCAAAGAATTTTCATAATGTGTTTAATGTGAGAATATATTTATATATGTATATGATAATTATGTTATTCATGGATATTTCCGTACGGTATTTAGGTTATGGATGCGAAAGCTAATGTGCTTCGATTAGCAAGTGTGCGCTTGTAAAAATGACGCCTGGCTGGTATCCTCCCCAGGGAGTGGAGAATGTGCATACATTGTGTGCAGGTAAGCCTGAATCCCATGACCGGGGTAATAATATATATATATCTGTAAAGCGCTTTGAGAGGACCTTCGGTTCTGAAAAGCGCTATATAAGAACTAGCTATTATTATTATTATTATATTTTCATATTATATCTATATCCTAACATCTCGCTTGCTCATATCTAATTTCGATATGATTTGCATAAGACTAAACAACGTCGTTATTATATTTCAGTTTTAAATTCTGAAGCATTAATTTTACCATGATTGAAATGGTGCTTTATAAATACACATGCATATTATCACTTATATGATTACTGCTATTATTATCATTATTATAATTTGTATTATTGCCATCATTATTGTTATGTTAATTATCAAAATTAGTAGTAGTAGCAGCAGTAGTAGAAGAACAACCTTCTTAATAGTACAATTTTAATACAATTGTTATTATTATTAATAATATCACTTTTTTATGATTATCATTACGATGATAATTATTACCATTACCATTAGTTTTATTCTAATGGCGTAATCCATGAAGTCTACACACCCACAAAATAGATGTCTAGGCTGATCGGAACGGCATGCATGTACACGCAAACTTTATATTTTTATAAACATGCCAAGAATGAGAGAGAAAAGAGAAATAGGAATTGTACCCACCTAGACGTAGAGGAGCTTGTTGGGACTTCCACTTCCTGTGTTAGAAATCTTGTAGTTGGAGGTGTTTGCAAGCATTTTTGAACTGGATCCGTAGCAAGCAATGGCACCTATTAAATATGACAGTCAATAAAACGTAACGAAAACCATTTTAGTCATGAGGACATAGGTCTCCGCTTCGTAAGCAACAAAACATTGAAAATGGATCATGTCCACGAGTTCCTACCCCGAGCTCGATCAATGACATTCAAAAATATAAACTCATAGTTTAGACGGAATTTATAGCCAGAGATTGGCTGGACAAGTGCAGGGATCGAATCAGAACATAGGATACATGGACATACAAGAGCGGTTCAAAAAATAAAAAATAAAACTTGATAAAAACCAACAATTACCTACAGATGTACATGTGAAATTTCCTCATTATATAGCGTGGTCCTATTAATTTGGTGAAGATATAAAACAAGAAACAATTTAAAAATCCATGCATACCAGCAACATGAGGGCAGGCCATGGAGGTCCCGCTGATTGTTTTGGTAGCACTGTTACTAGTATACCAAGTGGAGGTGATGGAAGTACCAGGAGCAAAGAGGTCTACGCAGCTTCCGTAGTTGGAGAAGGAGGAACGCTTATCGCTATTGTCGGTAGCTGCAACAGTGATTGCCTGC